GAAGACAAAAAAAAATGGCTTAATCTCGCGGGGTTAAATAAAAGAAGGAATGCGGTGAGAGGAAGATTCCTTTTATGCAAGCGTGCAGGGATGACTGAAAGTGCCTGTGGGCATTTGGTCCCCATTGGCTCTCGAAGGGAATGCAATGATGCCCACAGATAGCCTGTATTGTTGTCAGTTAAATGGGATCATGAGTGTCTGAAAGGTGTTTGAGAATGAACTGAAAATCATTTTCACAAGTGGATGATTACTTCTGCCACATGTTAACCGAACTCTATCAGAGTGGCCCAGATTTTTGAGACTGCATTAATTGCTCTTTCAACCTTGACTGAGGTTTCTCTTTAAGAAAGGCCTTTGCTGGACTAAACTGCTACATGTATTGATTTTTCTCTATATATTTTTTTCATTGTTTGTGATAAATGAAGCCTTTTACAAGTAGAGAATTTATCATTCAAGATGTAGATAGATTGCCTCATTCCTTAGAATAAAAAGGCCAGTCTAAAAATGATCTCTGTAGAAGTAGTAAGTCCTTTCTCATTTTTCCAGCAGTGAATAGCTCCAGTATTCCACACTCAATTATGTTTTTCAGCTATTCATTAGTGCTGGGTTTTTTTCATCAAAAAGTAGAAAACTGCACTCTCGCAGCATGGATTTAAAGCAAATAAGCTACCATCTTCTTTCCTGTGTGTGCCATCACATAATTGAAAACTGAACTATAATATTTAGCAATATGGTTTTAGGCCTTTGTAACGCAAGGAAATGGACTTTGAAAATATTCAGCCTTTAGATATTTAAAATATAGTGATGCTCAGACTTCTTAGAGAAACTGGTTGTTCGGTTTGTTTGTTCAGTTCCCAGAGAAGAAAATGATGCTGAGACAAGATGATATATAAAGCATTTTTATCCAAGTGTTTCTGTGTGTTGTAGTGGAAATGTAGTTTCTTGTATTTTTGTTTTTCAGGTAAATGAACTTTAAATACTGTTTGATTTTCTGCCATATTATAAGCATTGTGAGGTACAATCAAGTACATCTGTGACTTCATACAAATATGATTTTTACTTTTTAATCCGGGTGTGAATGAAGAGAAAGAAAGCATTGTTAAATAATACTGAAGAAAGAACAACCCCGTAGAACTGTTTTTAGGAGAAAAAGTCTCAGGAAAGTGGTTGCATGATTTATATATATGGTTGCATTTTCATATTACTACAAAATGGTGTTAGAAAATTTTTACATTGAAATAGCACTTGGTGACTCAATATGTTTGATCGAGGTCTTATTTTCTATGTGCTATATAAAAGCAGGTCTATTAGTCTTAAGTTACTGGAAAGTATGTGAGTAAAATTCAGAGACTGAAAAAGGCAACCAAGCATATGTATACTAGCTATAAAGACTAACTACACTAACTATAAAGACACTTTCTAATGTGCACATGTACAGATGTAGATGTTATGTACACATTATATTAATACATTTTTACTGAATAAAAGTCTGCCATCTATATCTTTTACTGTGTGCATCAGAAAACCCATCTTTCCTAACTTCTTGTCAGTTTACTAATTAAACAGTCTCACAACATGGTCTTACAGAGAAGTCAAAAAAAAATCTAGTAATGCTAGTAATAAGCAATTACTATTTCAGTGCTCAGATACAGGGGAACTATTTCAGCATCTGCCTTCTCAATCTGTTGCTGAAATGTAATTCAAGAATTATTTTAGATCACCCCAATTCTGGAACCCAAATTAGAGTTAGAAAAATTGTGGCAAATACTGTAGTTTATTTTTAAGAAATATGGCATAAGCTACTTCTGAATATCAGTTTCTTCTTTGTATGGCACAGCATATTCTTCCTAAAGAAAGGCACAGTGTTTGAAGGAATGGCTGTTGTGTGTTTCTTGTTGCTGCTGAGGATGCTTAAAATAATTAACTCTATGGATCTCACGCCCATTTTTTTGAAAGGAGAGCATGAGTGGGGCTTGTAGGTGAATGCAAATATGCATATGAGTAGAGATACAGGCTGCAGCTCTGTGAGCAGGTGACTGAGAGTCTGCTCTAGTTTGTGATACTGACGTTTACCCAAGACCTGTGGAAAATTACGCAGTTGCCCAACTTAAAACATTCTTCAGCTTAGCTCTAGGACTTGATTAATTTCTGAATCCCTTCAGAGAGGATTCTAGGGTGTTTGGTTCCTTCTGGGTATAAAAGTTAGACTCCTCCTGACAAAGACTTAGTCTGCTCATCTTTCAGGAGCCTGCACACTTAAGATGAGCACTGGATATATCCCTGGTAAATGGCTGAAATTTTCTACAGTAGGAAAAACCTGTCACCATTAGAGATAGCACTAGGAGAGGCATTAATAAAGTAAGATTAGAACTGTGTGTTTACAGTGATTGGTAAAACCAAGTAAGATAAGGCACTTCTATATTAAATCCCAGCTTCTTGTCATGAATGCTGTTTTCATTGTTACCTAATCTTATCTAAGACCAGTGGATTTTAAAGTTAGGTAGTTAATGTTCCACTCTTTTGTTTCCCAAGGAACCTCTTATTTAACACCTTAGCTAGAGGTAATTTATAGGAGGCATAAAAAGGGCACATTGCTATTTTCTTTCTTTGTATGCTCTCTTATTTTATAGTTTTGAATTTACTGTAACTTGTGATAGGTTTGCCTATACTGAAGGAACATATGTGGTATACCTTACAGGAAAGGTGATTTTAAAAGAAATGGACTTTTTCTCTAATGGCAAATGTTGTTCTAAAATCTCTTCTTTTAAAAGTACCTTTCTAAACCAGGCTCAGTTAACAATAAAAACAAAGAATAAATTAAATGTGGTGGTTTTAAGGTTGAGTTACTTGTTTTCTACTCTCTTCCCATTAGAATGTAAAGCCACTGCAGCTTATGGTATCAGGATTATTTGCCTCTGATGATACCGAGATTACTCTCAAACAAGAAGAATCCTCTGTTAGTCCATGGCTGCTTTACAGACATGCCAAGCGGGTGGGAACATGGTCAGGACATGTTTATACTGCAGCATTTGAGGACTGTGTCCATGGGGACATTGTCCTTCATCATCATAAAAACCTACAGAACGCTCTGAGACTGTGGAGGCAGAACAGAGCAGGTTTAGAACTGAGAGAGTCCAAAGGCCATCTGTGGATGCTTTTATGATTCTTCCCCCACCTGGGTCATTAGTCTTCAAGGCTGAGTGAAATTCACCCATCATTCCCCCTCTACCCTATGGCAATAGTGAAGAGATTAATGAGGCACTAGCAATGCGATATGTTTTGGAGAAAGTAAATGCTCTGATGTAGGGGAACATGCCTGGCTCTTTTGAAAGATATGAAAAGCAAACCAGTTCATATTTTGTGAGGAATATACAGTTATCACTTTATGAGGTAAATGCTTCCTTAGTTGCAAAACATTGTAAAATTTCAAATAATCCCTACTAGACACTTCTTCTGGTAACCTTTCTGACATAACTCTTACTCTTCTCCTTTCTTCTCACTGAATTTGAAATAATCACAGAAGGAGAGGGGCAGGATCTGGACTATTCAAAGAAAGCCAGACCAGCTGGTAATTGTGTACACAAAGCCAATTGTCCTCTCTCATTCAAACAAGTGAGGCAGAGCTTCAACACAGGTGTAGCGGGAGTTGAAGACGGACAAGACATCAATGTCGTAGTAATGAGGGAGCTGCTACGCAATCTGGCAAACCACTTCAGCTAATGAGCATTGCACTAAACATTCACATTGCACAAAAAAATTGTCCTTTGTGATGCCAAAAGTGGGAAAGAATCTACCTGACAACAAGTGGAAAAGTTTTGCCTGTACTTTACTTACCTGTTTCATGTGAGATGTTGGTTCATTGCTCTGCTTTTCAACTGAGGTAAAAACCACGAGTTAACGGAGCTCCAGATGTGATCAGAAAGTAGAAGGCAGCAGACCCTATCCTCTTACCGAAAAGGCACCCATCCATCTACCAATCATCCAACTAACCTTCTCCTATGCTAGTTATTGTAACTTCTCCATAATGTATGTGCCGGCATCCTCTGGGGAGTGCCCTGTCAGTCCAGCTTCCATTGATCTAAACAATTTGGATCTTTGTTCTGCCCTTGACCCATCAGGTTGTCCTTGATGCCCTTGGCAGAAGCTGGCCAGCAAGTTGGGACATCTCATGGTTAATATTTTTTCTCTCCCACCAGGTTTTAAGATCCTTACCACTCTTAGGCTCTTGCTTACAATCCCACCGCTCATCCTTTTCCTCCTGTTGACCTTAACAACAGTACATGACCGCAGTGACAGAAAAAAAGTGTCACTATATTGCCATAGAACTTGCTGCACATTCTGGGGTAATGAAGGTGCTTCCTCTACCACCAAATAATATCAACATCTGTGGTGTTATCATCTCACTGGTTGATACTCCTGATTACATTGTATGATTCAAAGCCTGGAAATTGCCAAGGTTACAAGGAGCTTTTTTGTAATCCAAGAGTCTTTATAGTGAAGTGCTTCTGTCGGAAAATTAGATTCTAGTTTACTCTGGGGAAAAAAATCTAATCTTGTGTGTCTGCTGGCATTTTCTTGTTTGAGCGTTTTCCCAAACTGACACTGTGGCTGACTTCTCACAGACCAGAAAAACACTGGCAATTCTGTAGAAATCAAATACAGTTTAACTTTTCTAACATTCAGTATTTCTGTGTAGTCAAAAGTGTTCTACTTTAGCTAGTTTTTCTATTTTCAGGTGCAACTAGTGAAATTTAAAGTTAGCCGTCTCAAACAGGAGGTCTTTTGTTTCTGCTTTTTGCCTTATTTTGAATTAAAAGGAATATCTCTTTGTATTTTTATTGTCTGAATAAATAGAAGAAAAAAATAACTTCTTAGATGTGACAACACTGGAGAAGAAGCTCTGTGGGTAGAGGAAATGAACACACTCATTTGTATTGGGTCCTCCTAATATCATGTTGCTTATTATTGGAAAAACATTCCCTTTATTATTTCCTTTGCAGATATTTGTACGCTCTAGGACAGAAGGTTTGGAAGCGGTGGAAAAAACGCTACTTTGTTCTTGTTCAGGTTAGTAGTGCACTACATAATATTATTTAAAAGTTGTCTTGGACCATCAAATTTCTTATGTATGGTTCTTATGTATGGAGCCGTTAGTGAATGGGTATGTTCAGAAACACATGCAGCACTACTCCAAGCTCCATAGATCATAGAGACATCCAGGGCATATTTTTTGTAATTTACATATGTAGAAAACAGAAATGTCACTAAGTGACATTGATACCTTGAAATATTCTGCTTACAGCTTTCTAGCAGCACTCAATTTAGAGTAGTAATAGTTCACTAAGTGGATTTTATTTAGTTTCAGTTATTCTACCTCAGCCTTTAAAACTAAAGCAACAATTAAAAACCTTTCCATAATTTTTTTTTTTAATAATGCTATTTTTTGTTCTTCCTTGCAATGTTAAATTATATAGTTGCTACCGAAAATCTAGTTTAGCAATTTTTCTTGGCCATAAAAATGTGCTGGGCTGATATTTCATAACTTTTTGTCCAAACCTAGAATTGAGAGTGTTTTTATAGGCTAGTTCATGGTGATGTTAACATGGCCGGTTAGCTCAGTGGGATGAGCATGGTGCTGACAACAATGACAACACCGAGGTTCGATTCCTGCTTGGTCCCCATGTGTTGCCTGGTCTAGTTGAGAGGTGACAGCCCTGCCCATGACAGGGAGGTTGGATTAAATGATCTCTAAGGTCCCTTCCAACCTAGGCCATTCTATAATTCTATTATTCTATGAGATTAATAGAATAGGAATACAAAAGTAAATTATAAGTGGCCAAAACTGAGAAGTTAATCATATTCATGAGTGTTTGGAAAAATCATTATTTTCTGTTTGAGCTTGTCTTCAGATTAATTACAGATTTTGTGTTCTTCTAAGTCAGTTCACAGAACACTATTATTCTGTCCTTCATTTTGTTGACAGAAAACTGTTAAAGTGTGAGTCTCCAAAAATGTCGTATACAAAGGATTAAGTCTGTTAACAAGGCTTTTTTAAGAATGACAGCTTCTAAAACTACTTTACAGAAAGCCTGATTCCATTCTCTACCACTCTGTCAGTCACACTCATCTGGTCTCCACCTACTCCTAAATGATGAACAAAGTCTAAAAGCTATTTTCATATTGTTCTTGATAAGCTTGATCTCAATATAGTGTTCTCCCTGGCTTCAGTCAGAGTTGGCTTGAATATGGATATTCACTGAGTAATGGTTATAGGGTTGAACAGGATCTTCTGCAAAGTCTACCGAATTAATGAAGTTCTGTTTTTACCAAGGTCCTCTGTAAAGACATGAGGACTTTTTGTGACTTCAGTAAAGATTGGGAAGATATGTACAATAGCTGTTGAGGCATGGATGTGAAGGGAAAATATCTTAATGCTCTCTTATCCTCAATGCTTTTCCTTAACGCTCCTACTTTACATTCACCCTTTCACAAAAACAAAGACCTTGTTCTTTTCCTCTAAGCTGCAAGTGTAATCTGTTGTAAAGTACACACCTGAGAGACACCTAGCCTTTCTGTGCATGTGATACGGAGCCATCTGGGAAACCAGTTTATTCCATCCAAGTTAATTTTAGCTATCTTCTACTTTCTATGCTGAAATTGAAATACCAAAGGAGAATATTACAGGAATTTTCAAACTGTGATGGGATTTAGACATCTATTTCTTTTTAAAGCAGCTATCAGTTCAATGAGGCTATGTAAAAAGCACCATGTTAAATCAATATTTGCTGTCCAGACAGCTCTGGCTCATTTATATAGTCCAGCTGTGATACATACACTGACAATAAGCTGAAGTCAATAAGTGTGAAATAAGCATTCAGTAATGAATATCAGTCTGTTGTATTGATATATTATTGACATATTGACAAGTTTTCCTTCTGAGCTTAGCTAAGAAGTAAAACAGTAAAATATTAAGGCCGTGAAATTCAGTTTTAAGACAGGAGCTATCAGGATGATTTACACACGCTTTGGAAATGTCACTCAGGTGTGAAATTAGATGAATAATGTTGAATTTTCAGGAGACTGATGTGAGTAATGTGCATCCTTGTTACTGCTACACATATTAGAAGTTGTTAGTGGTTTCTGAAAGAAGAGCTCAATGTTATAGCGAGGTTACAGGGTCTGGAAATTTTAACCTCTTCATTATATTTGCTTTTCTTCCTTTTACAATCCAGCCTAAAAGATTGTTCATTCACACTGGAGAAAGACAGAGACATAATGTGTTAGGTAAAAAGCCTCAGCTGGACATGCTGTGTTTTACTTCATTTACTGTCTGATAATATCTTCCTCCAGTAATCTGAATGCAGATTCACTTCTGTTATTTTAATTTCATCTGTTCTAATGTATGAAAAGTCAGTCATTTGTTTCGTGGGTAATTTTTTTCCAAACACACCAACCACACAGGCTAATTCTTGCTGAATCCCTGCAGTGGACTGCCCAGTGATGCCCTGTAGCAGGGACCACAGAGTCAGCCTCCTCCAGGTTTGCAGTAACGGTTCCTCCCAGCACGTTAAACAGGGGCTTTCTGCCCCATGGGGACATCCCCCAGTGACACTGCTCATAAGTCACGTCCGTGTTTCTGCACCTCTCTGTCTGTTGTGCATGCACAGGTTGTTGGTTTTCCGCTTTGTTATGAAATAGATAGAACAGCTGTTGTGTAGTCAGGTGTTTGGACCTCTGGAAAATTATGTAATTGAGGTAAATGCAGCTGTAGAAAGAGGATTGCCTTTTCTTCTGTCAAGAATTGCTATTTAAGAAGGTGTCTTGATTCTGTTTTGTCTGAGAATGCATTGGGCATAGTCCTGACATTTGAGTACCTCTTATTCCGTGAAGTTTTGATGATAATTTGCTAGATTCTAAGGAAAAACTACCTACAGCTCCATTAACTACTAACAATAAATGTAAACCCATTCATAGGTGTAGATTAAAAAGTGTAATTTCAGATTGTGCTGGTGGTTCTCTCTATAATAACTTATATCAGCCACCAATAACCATAGAAAAAAGATTGTGAGTGTAAACAAATAAGGTAAATTATGTATTTTTTTTATTTTGTTGAGACTTTTTTTCCCCAACAAAGTTTTCTGGAGCTTTTCTGTTTGTCTCTTTGGTGGAGAGACTTTAAAATTACTCATTTTCAACAAAAGGATGAAGTGTAGCCAATGGTAACAGTAAGGAAAAGGGTTTAAGAGATTGTTAATATAAACACATGAAGCAGATTCTGTATTTCTTTATTTTACTGAGACTTTTCCTCAGCAAGGTTTTCTGGAGCTTTTCTATTTGTTTATTTGGTAGAGACTTTAAAATGTCTCATTTTCACAAAAGTTGATGTGTAAGACTGATTGTGACATGAATATATTTTAATAAGTTGTTCGTTTAAAATAAGTGAATGCATTTGAAATGTAGTTGAAAAAGTAAAATCAGCAGCATTTGTAATTTCTGTCTTGTTGTAGGCGTGAGGTTAAAAATGAGCCCAAATCTTCCTCAAGCTTATTTTCAAAAACATGTAGTGGCTGAAGAAAAGAGAAAAAAATGGGAGTCCTATGCATTACCATAATTAGTGTGTGCTAGCTTCCCTTTTGGTGGCTCAGTTTGTTTGTTATATGGAGTTATTGACATGAAGATGTGAGTGATGTGGGTGCTTGCCAAGTTATTCTATTCAGCAAAGTAGAATAATTTGAAAAATTTACTGCAATGCCAGACGTCAAAACTTAAATTTGTAGATTCCGTTTATGAGCAAAAGGAGAGAAGCGAGCTCTCATGACTTACAATGCTAATCGCAAAGGATTTAGATCTCTGTGAGTGACCAACAGCTTCCTCCATGCTTGTAGCTGAGGACAAATAGGGTTCTTGGGAATATAAGCAGGGAAACACTGAGCTGTACCACGGGCGATATTGCTGCTGGGCGCAGAGAAGATGGCACGGAGTGAGGGCTGAGCCCTGTGTCCAAGCCCAAAGGCACCACTGGCCTCTACTGTTCCTGCCCGGCCCTGACAGGATGTCCCCACCCTGCCGACAGCTCAGAACACCATTTTAGCCTCCTCAGACCATCACCCCCCACCCCGGTGATGCCAGGGCTGGGGCTGCCTCGGTGCCCCCTGGCTGTCCTGCTGCTGGCTGGGCCCTGAGTACTGCCAGGCCCTGCCCTACCAGCCCAGGGATAACTTAAAATCTTTAAAACAAAATATGGCAGTTTTCTAAAATATGTACTAGGAATAAAAGCGAAACTATGGGCTTAATGCACAGAGAAGTGAAATCTTGCCATGTACATCATGCTGGAGGACAGGCTGGCTGGTTGTAATAGTCCCTTCTGGCCTGAAAATCTGAATTTCTAGATTGTTTTTTGTATGTGTTTATATTTTTTATGGTTTTGTATCTTCTTGGTATAGCCCACTTAAGTGAATGTACTAAGTTTGATGTGGAAATCCAGCATGCAATTTTAGTTGCCTAACAGTGTCTCTCCAAGTCATCATCTCCTGTAAAACTGCCTTCATTTAACTAATGTATTAATTGAACTAGAATATCTATGTTTAATTTCTCTCACCTGAAAACTTCTGCAGTGGTTACAGAGACATCAGCTCAGCATTTGAGGTTTGATGGTAATTTGGCAGAGTGAGCTGTTAACAATTGTTCCTTCTGCTTGTACACACTGTGGCAGAGGATGTTCAGTTGCCACATACTGCATACCCATAGCATTTTCAAAAAAATCCCAGATACTTAAAATAATAAAAATTCGGCAGATAATAGTCACACTTTCTGGTCTTATCTTCAAAATATACCAATCTTTTGCAGAGTCAAAAAAGCTTTTGTCAATAGCAGTTGAAGTCACTGGACTTTGAGGTGGAGTGGCACACGGGTACAGCACCAACAGATACATGAATGAAGCTCGAATCAGCTGTCAGAATTTTACTTCAAAAAGGGTCATTCCTGAAGTTGTAGCCAAAGCAATAAATCTAGGTAACAGTCATTAACTGAGATAAAGAAAGTCCATCATATCTGACAAGTTTCTTGCCTATCTTTAGATCCTTGCATAATTTTGAGGATCTAAGAAGTGATGCTATAGTTCAAAACGAGTCAGTTAGACAAGTATCTAACAGTCCTTGGAAACAAGAGTTTCAGAGGCTCGTGTAAGTTCAGTTTCCTTAAGTTTCAAGCATTCACAGATTCACAAGCTCTTCTGATCACTTTTCATAGCCTTTCCAGCTTTTCATTTAAGACTGGGAACATCTCAGTTTTTCCTTTCCCATTTGTTGCATTCCTTTCTTTATCTTTCCAGTCACTTTTTCCTCAGCTCTCCTTATAGCTTTCTGTTCTATCTAGGGAATCTTAAAACACATCCTCCTATTGCTTTCTTATTTTTTTAATAAATGTACTTGATGAGAAGTAACTGATGTTTTTCATGCCGGCTGCAAGCTGCCTGGCCTACCCGGTACTGTATCCAGTGAGACAAACAACCTGGAGATCATTGTGAACACAGATGCAAAAGATGCAGAAATTAGACTATAAAATCTATTCAAAGGTTCTGGTACTTACCATCTTTAACTAAAGTTGGCCAGATCATGTGTTCGTCTTTCTAGCTGCATGGTAAGTGCAGCACTCCTTCTGCAAACAGTGAATTAATACATAAAAGTCCTTTTTTTTCCCAGATTATTGGAATATAAGACCTTTATTCTCACAGTAGACTGAGCGGTTTGGTCAGTACCACAGCACCAAGTATTTTCCCTACCAGAATTTTATTTGGTTCCTTTCAATTTTTGGTAAAGCAACAGCCCAAAATACATTGTATTTCAGGAAACTGCGAAGAGATGTGTTTATGGTGTTATTTTCCCTTCCTTTTGACAGGAAGAGGAGAGAGCATCAGGTTTTACACTGTAAATATTTCTTGAAAAAAATAGGGTTTATTTCTGCAGCACAACTTGAAGCAAATTTAAACCATGATACATGTGTTATGCAATTCTGGAATGGAATTCAACTACTAAGAAGTCCTTTCTTATTCAGGTTAGCCAATACACATTTGCAATGTGCAGTTACAGAGAAAAGAAGTCTGAGCCTCAGGAACTGATGCAGCTCGAAGGATACACTGTGGATTATACAGCTCCTCACACAGGTACTTTTCATGATTTTGAAGTATGACATGTTCGTGTAAAACAGCTGATGTAATTTGCTCGATTTGATCTAGCAGCAAAAAACCCCCAAGATTCTTTGTTAATTATTCAGCTAGGATTTTCTGGTATGAAAAATCATGCTTTTAAAAAGAAGCATGTTGTAAGAATAATGAAGAATGAACTTACACTAAGGTTGCCTGAAACACATATGACACAAGGAAAAAATTACGAATTCTATTCAGTTTTTCTCTTTTCTTACTGTTTTTGATAGTGAAGTCACGTGGCAGCCTACTGTGAAGTATACTGGGAGATTATTTAGAAACGAAGGGAATGATGATAGCGCTTGCTACAGACAAATTACTCAGAGTAATCAAAATAAATTCGAAGATATCAGAAAAATCTGCACAAGTTAGCGTTAAAATGGCAGAGGTATATCAAAGTTACACATGTAGAGAAAAACGATTCTACTCTACCTATGCAGTGGAGGGTTATGAATGTAGGAAAATTCTGTGATATTGAAGATTGATCTTTGGAAATGTTGGCTCAATGTTTATAACAATAGAAAAAGCAAACAAGGCTCAGAAGGCGTTTGGAAAGCCAAAACAATGTTGTCATTAAAAAAATCTGTTCTGTACTCTTCTGCTTACGTACTCAGAACAAAACACTGGAATGAGAAATAGGGACCAAGGAAGGAGCAGCAGCACTGGTAAGAGGTACAGAGCTGCCTCTGTTCAAGAAGAGATAAAATTAACAGGGATTCCAGCTGAGAAAATGATGCTAAGAAGGAGAAATGCAAAGTAGCATGTGACACAGAGAAGCTGAATAAGAAATAAATTGGAATTGAATTGGAAATGGAATTATGGAGATGTTTTATCCTATTATTTCTATATTTATTCTGCTTATATGTTACTTCCTTATATTACTGTTTGATCCTTATGGCTCTAGATTTTCACATTTCTAGATCATTAATACCTAAAAATGTTTTAACACCCACCCTCCACCCCACTCACCCACCCACAGACGAAAACCAATAATGTGATTGATAGTGATTTACAGGAAACATGTATTTAAGATTACCTTCCTTTTACTTGCTTTAGGTCTTCAGGGTGGTCGAATGTTTTTCAATGCTGTTAAAGAAGGTGATACCGTGATATTTGCCAGTGATGATGAGCAGGATAGAATACTCTGGGTTCAAGCCATGTACAGAGCCACAGGTCAATCATATAAGCCTATTCCTGCTAGTCAAGCTCAAAAGATAAATCCTAAAGGAGGAAATGTCAACGCAGATATATCCCCGCTTTGTAAGTTGGCTTTCTCTTTCTTTTATGTCTTTGGTTTTGGTATTAGTTGGTAAAATATGATGCAGCTCCCTCAATGAAGTTTAATTAAGCAGAAGTTATTCACTAGGGAAATGTGCCTGGTGGTTTGTTGTTAGCTAGAAGCTTTTTAACTCAGATTATTATTACTAGCAAGGGAAATCCTGACTTGCAGGTCATTATTTTTATTATAATCCGTGAAAATACAGCAATTAGCTTCATATTCATTACAGTTGACCTACATATTACCATGGAGATGATGTTTGATTTACATTACGTTTTTCAGTAGCAAGCAAGTGTAGTGTTGAACAGAAAAACATCAATCTATTCTCAGAACTTTATAGATTTAGGTCAGGTTTATCATGCATAGTATGTGTATTAGTTACCTAAAAATTTCTATGTACACAGTTCCTTGTGAGCTGAAAGGCACTAGATGAACTGCTGAATTTTTGCACCCCTCACTGTAATATTAAACTACATATAAAATGTTTTTTAAAAAGTCAGAGTTGTTTTCCTCACCTTTCTTTAAGGAAAGTATTGTTTCAGAGAAAATCAAGGTGGTTAGCATATATTAACCATATCTTGACATTTTATTATAATATCTTTGAAAGTATTCTGTCATGTAGACATCTGCACATAGGAAGCGTATATTATTTTTTTCTATTGTTGTTCTTCAATCCAAGTATTTTTGTAACAGCCATCAAATTTTTGCAGTGTTATATGGCTGTATAAAATAATCCTCCTTCACTCTTGTATATCTGAATATGTAGTGATAGAAGGAAGATAGATACATTTTAGACTCAAGTTGGTTTAATGCCTGGAGTCTATAGTCTGTTGACCCAAAACTGTTCTTCCTCAGTCCTGCAATCACTCTCTCTCATGGCCTTCCTTTTATCCTGTAATCTTTCATAATTTTGCTATTAAATGACAGTAATGTGTGCTCTTTAAACTCAGTAACAGTTATCTAAAGTCCTGATTGGGCTGTTGAGTACATTGGAAAAAACAGATTAATCTTACAGAAGTGCTGGCATCTGTTGAATTTTCAATCTGAAACTATTTGGAAGGGTGAAGCAACAATTCATCACGGGGCCTGTTAAGGTGGAGTATTTTGTAGGCTATAAGTAAAACTGCAGAAGCAAAGGTGGGGAATAGCTGAGGAGTGCTTCTACTCCCCTCCTCCCAGCTGCCTGGATCTCGGCTGGGTCCTAGGAGTTCACCGTGTTCCTCTCCATGTGTTTCTACTTCATCTGCATCAGTTAGAAAGTACCAAAGAAGTGACTGCAGTCAGTAGTAGCCAAGGAACTGCTCTTTTTCTTGGACACAGGGTTTACATGGAAGTGAAAGCAACTAGCCAACGCTGACCATAGGGCAAAGGAAGAAAATTGTACAAAGAGAATTGTGAATTTCGATATACTGAAATGATGTTTGCGGAGATAAAATTACCTGATAGTGGTTACATATTAAAAACACAAGATTGACATGTCTTGATATTATTTTAGAGTGATTATACTTCTTAGGTGGAAATCATACGTAAAATAAGGTTTATATGAAAGATGGTTTGAAGGAAGCTCAAAAGCCTAAAAATAAATGGCATTTCTGTGGTGCTTATGTATCAACTTGCAGAAACTGATATGGCTGAACTATATATAAATCTGAACTGTATATAAACTATTATTTCCTTTGGTTTTAATATACTTCCATCTTGGTATTTTGTAATTCAGATAATTCTTTGCAATAATGTGAAATTTAACTTAATTTGAGGTTTAGTCTTAAAAGAATCAATGTTTGACTGGTATCTGTGTATCTCCAGTTCTACCTGCATGAGGAAAATTTTATAATTCTGTTTTTTCTGTTTGAGGTGGAAATAGGCATAATCAAATTAATCAATTTTTAAGAAACTGCAAGAATTAGAGTTAAACTATATTCTAAGACAGCTGCTTCACTGCCATATACTGTGCTGATTTTCTTGGGGTAGAGTTTTGTTTCTAAGAAGACTCTATAGCTGACCTTTTGTCAGATTTAAATATGTTAAGTTTCCTAAGAAGTTAATTTTTTTCCCCCCCTAGAAAAGTGTTTGCATGAAGCTGAGAGTATTTTATTTTTAATCAAGATACTACCAAGTACTTAAGAGATTATATATACATTAAATGAAATTAATTTGTTTTCTTTTCTTCTTTACTATGAAGTACTAGGATATTTAGTATTAGGAAATACAGTTACGACCAGAGAATTTGTCAACTACTTTTTTATGTATCTTATTTTTCATCTAATCATTTCCAGCCTATACTAGATCACTTTGTTTTAGTTTTTAAAGTATATCATGCTTACTTAGTAATGTTCAAGCCTTGAAACTCTGTCCTCATCTTCCTCATTCTCTAGGAAGATCAGAAATGCAACTCATTCATTTTGATAAAATGTACAAAAAGAACTTTCAGTAGCTTTGAACTGCCAGATGTAGAGAAAAATCAACTTGAGATGTTCAACATTTTTATATATTGTGTTTTATATATGTGTTTATAACACATCTTCTGTAATTCTCAAATTTTCTTGATATATGAGGAAAGCAACTGAAAGTTGTCATTAAAGAAATTTAAATATCATATGCTAATAAATACTAGCATTTTAATTTTCCGTTGCCTTGTAGGCAAAATTAAACTTTACAAAGTTAATGTTTACATTATTAGCTGAAAATGACAACTTGTCAGATGCAAGCATATCATTAAACATTTAATGTCTTTAATCAAGTGATACATGTAAATGGCAATGTGATACTTTGTTTTCACATCCTGTACTATTTTCTGTATTTTCAAGTTCAAAACTCTCTAAGAGTTTCTGTAACTGTGGTAGAATTATTCCTGTGATCTATACCATGAACTCCTTTTGTATAAAAGAAAGTAGTAGAAAGGAAATAGTAAGAGACTCCTTTGGCTGGACGGATGGGTCCAAAGAGTGATGGTCAATGATTGAGTTAAATCCAGCTGGCGGCTGGTCACAAGTGATGTTCCTCATGACTCAGTGTTGACACCGTTTCTTTTTAACATCTTTACTGATGATCTTGATAAGGACATAGAGTGTATCATCAGTAAGTTCACAGATGACACCAAGTTAGGTGGGAGTGTTGAACTGCATGAGGGTAAGGAGACCCTACAGAGGGACTTGGACAGATTGGATCGATGGGCCAAAGTTAATGGGATGAGCTTCGACAAGGCCAAGTGCCAGGTTGTGTACTTGGGCCACAACGACGGCATGTAATGCTACAGGCTTGGGGAAGTGTGGCTGGAAAGCTGTTTGGCAGAAAGAGACCTGGGGGCTCTAACTGACAAGCAGCTGAATATGAGCCAGCAGTCCCTGCCCCCCAGTTAGAGCCCCCTCTAACTGACAAGCAGCTGAATATGAGCCAGCAGTGTGCCCAGGTGGCCAAGAAGGCCAATGGCATCCTGGTTTGTGTTAGAAATAGTGTGACCAGCAGGAGCAGGGAGGTGATTGTCCCCCTGTACTCGGCACTGGTGAGGCCACACCTTGAGTATTGTGTCCATTTTTGGGCACCTCAGTACAAAAGAGATACTGAGGTGCCAGAGCAAATGCAGAGGAGGGCAATGAAGCTGCTGAAGGGCCTGGAGAATAAATCTTGTGAAGAGTGATTGAAGGAGCTGGGCCTGTTCAGTCTGAAGAAGAGGAGGCTGAGGGGAGACCTCATCACTCTCTACAGCTACCTGAAAGGACATTGTAGAGAGGTTGGAGCTGGTCTCTTCTCACAGGTAATTAGCAATAGAACAAGAGGGAATGGCTTCAAACTGCAACAGAGTAGGTTTAGACTGGACATTAGGGAAAAAAAAATTCACAGAAAGAGTATTTAGACATTAAAATAGGCTGCCCAGGGAGGTGGTTGAGTCACCACTCCTGGATGTGTTTAAAGGTCATTTAGATGTGGTATTGGGTGATATGGTTTAGGGGTGAACTTTGTAGGGCAGGGTTAATGGTTGGACTCGATCCCAAGGGCCTTTTCCAACCTGAATGATTCTATGATGCTATGATTTGTATTGCAAAAGCTGTATTTTTTTGCAGTTATTGATCATAAGATAATTGCTTGTACAACAGAGCATTCAGAAATATATGAACAGAAACCAGCCACCTCTGAGCTGGATCAAACCAAACACATCAGGAACTCCTGAAAAGAAACTAGACGTGATCATAGTAAGACAGCCAGAGTCTGACTGATCTTCACAATGTTTATCACAAATGCGGAAAATGGAAATGTTACTCTTGGTTGTGCACAGCAACACTCCAAAAGGCCAACATGCAGATCTCTGATCTGAATGTGTAGTTCTCTTCTTGTTGATGCTGTACAGCAGCTTAGGATCACTCATATAGGGCATTTAGAAGGAACTTGATATCCTTGATACCAATGAGACAAGTACGGATTTAAGTGTGACACTGGAATCAGACTACTGTTGTCCCTGTCCAACTCCTATAAATGAATGCTAGCCATTTTCTTCATTTCTAAGTAAAGCAACTCGATATTAGGTGGCTCCAGAACAAAAGTGAAGATGGGTTAATGTCAGCAATGATCAAGAAGGAGACTGCTCTTCAGCTCTGCTATTCTGCATATGCGTGCTTTAATGCAAAAGACGAAGTATTCAGGGATGTGTGATGGTAGAAAAAACAGAAGTTTCCCGAAGACTCAAGTTTCTGGGAATGCACCAATTAAAACAGGTTCATCTGAGTCACATAAAGGTGCAGGAGGTGATCTTTTTTCCAATGAGTAATGTATTAGGAGATCTGTTCATACAGTTAGAGAGGCTGCTGAATGAAGAATGTTCTTAATAACTTGATTGTAACAAAGGTGTAACAGCAGCACATGAAGGGATTGTCATGTCTTAATGAAGCAAAGCCAAACGTTCTAATCCTATTTGTACCACTTTCAATCTTTGAACTGACTGCATCGTCAGAGACACTGTGGGAAATTCAAAATATGGTTAATATTAAGGTACTGGTGTCTTAATACATATACATAAGAAATTCCACTGCTTCACCTTATGGTAGCATTGTTCAGTTTTGGACTAATTCGTAGTGTTCTGGTAAAACGTTCTTTAAATAGTTCTGGGATGTTTGTATCTGTGTTTTCAAGTAATTGAATCTTTTAGAAACAAACAGAAATAAAAGATATTTCTTCATTTGATGTAGTTTTCTCAGAAGGTTTATCATCTTTATATCCAACATAGACTTTGCCACGTAGAAAAGCACAGTAATTCCACCCTCCCTGCATGTTCACCCTTTCTTCTGCACGTCCTTGCCTCTAACTACTGTCATCTCCCTTTTAGAAAGAAAAGGTTAATGCTGGCCTCTGCCACCTTAGGTGACCAGTAAGTCACCTTTGTGCTCTCTTTCAGGCTACTCAGAAATATGCAAAACCTGACTGGTATGCTCTTCAAACCTGTCCTTTGGCACAATACTGGCAGTCTCTTGGTGTGCTACCCCCTGGGCCATATGGGCCAGCTGCTTTCTCCTATTCTGCCACTTTCTCTCCATCTGTAATTACATTGCTTGATATTTAAATGATAAGGTTCTGGGGACATGGATTGTCTCTTTGACCCATGGTTCTTGGCACATAGCACTTTGGAGTCCTGGTCAGTGATCAGGAGTCGAAACATTCCCAATGGAAGCTGTCACTCTCTGTGCAGAGAGGCACTTGAAGGGATGTAACGTGTGTCTCGCCACTGTCTTTTGCGAAGAGCATATGCGCCTTCATCGTCATCCAACCAGTTCCAGCCTCTTCTGAGTCAGAGCTCTTACCCTGCTACTTCTAGTCTTTAAATCTGTTTAATCTCTACAATACTAGATTTTTTTTCCTCTGTCTGCTTTTCTTTCCTGCCTGCCTGAGTTTAGTTCAGTTTGCTTCAATGATGCTTAAATTCAAGCAGAAATGTCACAAAAGAGGGGAAGTCACCACTGCCAGGCCAGCTCCTGTAGTTCACGCTAGCACAGAGTAAATGCTACAGAAAATGTGTATTTGGTTCTGGACTGGAACAGGGCAGAGATGACACCTAGTGATTTGGTTATTGCTAGAAACCACTCCAGCATTTACCATAAACATGGAATTCTTAGATGTCAAACTGCATGTTCACGGTGCTGTTCTGCCAAAATGAATATCCTTGCCTAAAAGAACACCCAAAGAAATTGCTAAAACTCCTGCAATAGCTTTTGTAAATTTTTCCTATGGTTTTAAAATATATAACATGTGTCCTACTTTGATCCAAAAAATAAAAATTTAAAAATTGTAATTTTTTGGCTAACAGCTTCCAAAAGATGAAATAGATACACAATCTGAAGCAGACTGTGTAACATGGAAATAGCAGCCAAAACAATGAGTCTGAGTTAGAGGCAACTTGAAAGCAGGACATACATAAAATTCCATTAAGAAGGAAGGAAAATTAATTGTGGAAAAGTAGGAGAAGTATAGATGCTTCAAAGTTCTCCTCAGATATCTTCCCAGTATTTCCCAAGATTGAGAAAGTATAAATAGAAGAGAATCGTATTTTTTTGACTACGTATCCCTATATAGCCCTCTTTATCTCTTTTGCATTTGCGTGTAGCTTCAACAGGACATCTAAAGCTCATTTGTGTAGGTACTTGAAAAATACAATCACTAACAATTTTTAAAAGTAGGGTATTAAATAATTTTTAAATCCCAGTAATATAACATTTATGAATTCCTCGTAATCTTTGATTAAGTTTTTTTTTTTGAAGATCCATTTTCTGACAAAAGACTTACCAATTATCTTGTATGCATATCATAACAATAAGATAAAACGTAATGTATTACACTAGATCTATTTTTCTGTTATTTCCTGCTTGCCTACATCTGGCAAATTTAAGTTTTTAATTGTTTTCTGTTGCTAAAACATATTTTGTAACAGATCTTCTGTTACTATTTTACAATGTTACTTGTACTGTTTGATTCACTTAAAAAGGTGGTGATCAGTCATGGATCTTTCTGTAGGATTATATTGAGCAAATATTTATATTTTTAAATAAAATTATTTGCTTATTTTGTCCTAGTTATATAACTGCAGATTCTGCTTTCACGAGCTTCATTGTATTCTGTAGGTCACCTTACGCATTCTGATCATCTGGATGAATGTATCAGAATGCTGAATCTCTTTCGTTTGCAACATCCAGTCTCCTGATTTCAGAATACTTAATTGCTTGTCAGTACTTTCACAGATTTTTTTTTAAAAGGAGAAATCTTTTATATTTGTGTGCTTAACCAGAAAGAACAAACAAGCCAGTTAATTTAAGAAACACTCAGCTGTGTGTAATTTGTACATGAAACCAACAACAGAAAGAAATACTCATCCTTTTTCTTTTCTGTCACCTGTCTTATTTTAAATAATGGCTCGATAAATCAGATATCCATATAAGAAGGAAAATTTACAAGAAATGTAGAAGCCAGTAACATATTAAACATACTGGATTTAGAAAACTTTTTTCTCTGTGTCAGTCATTCTGGAAAACATAGGTTACTCCACATTTTAGTTTAGCACTTCCAGTAAGGTAGTTGTGTTGATATCGTTGCTTAACTTTGAATTCATGTGTTCTAAGTACTTTTAAGTTGCTCTAATTAAGAGAAAGCATTTCATGTACCTATGCCAAAAATAGGAGCTAAGTTTGTTGTTAATGATAAGGTAGTCTAATGCTCCTGGAAATATTGTTAATCTGTGTAATCACGTATGCTAGTGATCCTTAAACCATTAAAAATATATATGCTGCTGTTTCTGTGGGATTATGTTCTCATACCTTACGCCATCGATGAATTGTCATACTGTTTATTTGCTACATCCACCTTGGTGAAATCTGTCACATGGATGTGACTCTTGCTTTGACAATGCAAAGCCAAGTGATATGAATTAGTTTCTGCATCTTTCCAGGATGTGATGCTGCAGATCCTTCAGCTTGAATTAAATAATTCTCCCATCCACAAATACAGCTGAAAGTTGGACTTGACATGGATCAATATGATCTGGGGCTAAATTTCTAAATGTGACTGATTATGTTAGCATCATGCCCGCAGATCAATATTGAGTTTTATTATGAACCTGACTCTATAATTGGGTTTAATCAATAAACTTTTGTCTCCTTTTCTTTAGAAATTTTAGGGTTGTACTATGCAGGTTTTCAAAATTGCATTTAGGATACACTTAGGTCTATATTTTCCTAGTAACGAACATAAAAAGACCTAGGTTTGAATTTAAAGGAACAAAGAGCTAAGACCCTATTCAAAGGGGAAGTCAATTTTTAAGTTGATAGGACTGTTCACCCCAATACAGTCTATAGAATCCAAGACAGCTAATGTGCTAATACATAACTAGTCCTTTTGGGCACTGTAAGGCTTTTTCTGTCTGTACTTGATAATTCACATTGAGGACTTTGACAAAACATAACATTAATGAAAGCAATCGCTAGAGCTTCTCTTTTGATAAACCCGCGGGGTTTAAAGGCGTTGAAAGATGCAATCTGTGACGAACAATAAATTTGGGCCTTTGATTGAAGTGCCATTTGGGATGGTATGTTTTCCCGACGTATTTACACAAAAATGCTGCTCCCTTTTTCACTACTCTTTGCTGGAAGATTGAAGGAGCTTTTTGCCATTACTACATTAGGGTTTGTCTCATTAAAAGCTGAGTACAAAGAGAAGGCTGGAAATGACCTAGCTCAAGCCAGTGTGTTCATTTCTGCTCCAGTTTGCCATCTGAGAAGTAGGCTTCAAGCCATGATGAGTATTTCTATGAGCAGTACTCTGATCTGCAGTAAAGATGCTCTTTCTTGTCTGAAGAAATAAATGCATAAACCTTTTCTCTTTTTATGCAGTGGACGTAAGGATATTTATTTGGTTATTTTGCTAAAATTAGGAAGAGAGCCACACAAAACCAAGAAATCATGAAACACATTTTTTGCACTCATAGTGTTGTTTTGTAAATTGCAACATTTGAAAAGCTCCACTAGAAAAGAATTTAAGAATTATTGTAATGTACTACATTGTACTTTCTGGTAGCCTTTATAAATTTTATTTAACTTGTCAGTGGGTAGCAACTTTATTTTTTTTCCCTCTTTTATACCCCATAGGTTGATGTGATAGAAAAAGTAACTCTGTAATACTATTTTTGAGATAAAAACCAAGATTCTCTAAGAAGTCACCCACAAGCATCTACTTGTGTGACTCATTTCTTTGAGATCTTTTCAAGAAAGTTTATAAATTGAAACTAATATACTGTGTGTACGCTTGTGTTTGTAACTGTGGGCACACTCACGTGTATTGTTCTGCACATTTTTTCCTTTGTATGAACAGATACAGACCGTGGTCAGAAACATGGCATGGATGAGTTTATTTCTGCAAATCCCTGCAAATTTGACCATGCTTCCCTCTTTAGACTGCTTCAGAGGCAGACCTTGGATCACAGATTGAATGACTCCTATTCTTGTTTGGTGAGTACTGGCTGGAAGATAGATATAAAGAAGTGAGAAATAGTTGTTACAAAGTAGTCCTTTCTTCCTAGTTCGTTCAATAGCTGCGGTTGAAGTTGGAATAAAGGGTCCAATCAATTGGTTTCAAATTTGAAAATTATACACTTGCAAGCTGCTGCTGTGCCACTCAATAGAAAGCAAAGAGACCCAAACTGTCTCTTTTATCAGTTGAAGTTTATCATGTCCTCTACGGAGGTTTGAGTAAAAACAGAAGCTTTCAATAATGGTAAGAGCTCCTGTGGTAGGATTTACTGTCACCTGTACAGACATTTTAAGGTACAAAGATAGTCGCCTCATGTCAGACATTTCCATCTATCTTCGTTCCACTGTGGTGTGAAGGAAAAATGCCCAAGGAAGGGAATCGGGACCACAGGCAATATAGACATGTGGACATATATGTATTTTGGGCATATAATGCATTACCTGAATTGCAAATATCAAATGGGAGTGGAATTCTTAAAACAACAAAAAAAGGAAAATGTGATCTCTGTATCAAAATGAATGGTTTTCGCATTCAAAGACGGGTGTAAAAAAGAAGTTACTGGCATGATATGCTTTCCATATTTGTAGCTACTGTTTCCCTTTCCTACGTAACGGTTTCTATTTTATGCTTCGTGGACTGGCGGTTGAAGATGGGTCTGCTTCAGATGTTGTTTCCAGTGGGGGAAACCAACAACAATCTTGTGGAAGTCTATCATATTACATACACTTGTTAAACAGGTTTGTGTGGGTCAGACCTCATCACTTCCTGAGGCCTTATTTTTCACCTCATACCGTGTCTGAAATAGTTATCTCTTACTTAAGAACCTAAAATGCCTCCTAGCACTTAATTTTTTTTTCACTTTATTATCCCACAGCAACAAAAAAGGATAACTTTTTTAATATCTTTTTTCCGTTGTTCTGCCTAGACATGTAATACAAAGATAATGATGGGGGGTTTTAAGTTTGTTTGCAAGTGTAAAAAGGGGAAACGAATTGATTATTTGATGACAGTTGCTTCCTTTTTAAAATGCTATCAGATAAGTATGTACAGAAAAAGTTAAAGGACTCATTTTCTGTCTGTGGGTTGCACATTGAATCTAAGAAGAGGCCTGAAGGTACATCTGTACAAAGTAATTGGCACTCCAAGAGAAAATGGTTAGCTTTCTAACAGTGCATTGGGGTCAAAATCTTTTTTCTATAATAATAATATAGTAAGACACTTAATATAACCTTGAAATCAGGAACTTCTGGAAGAGGTTAGGTGAAATACACAGTGCTATAGCAACCATAAAGCAGACGCGTTTCTTATTGTTCTTTTTAAAATTCAGCTTTTAATGAATAAAATGGATGATAGGGTTTTTTGTTGAACTGCATATTTAACTATTTAATTAAAAAAAATGGGAATGTCAAGGTAGCAATAGAATATATGAACATCTAAGTGTTTTGTCCTCAACAGCTCATTTCCTATAATTTTTAGAAACATTGCATCCCTTTTTTTTAATAGAATGACCACATCCAACTTGTAAAACTAAAGCCAAAAATGTGTAAGAATTAATATTAAGCACGCTATTATGGTTTGAATTACTGTATAACCTAAACATTTTTAATTTTACATTCTTCTCAGTGTTGGGGAGCTTTTTTGTGGGTTTTTTTTTCAATTATACGATAAAAAGTATATAGTTATCTAATACACTGTAGCGTAGAGTTGTTATGTCTTTGTGAGAATGCATGGTGTGGAGTCAAACAAAGGTGAGGAAGGCACATATTTGCACAAAAATGACCACACTAAAACAGATCTCATATGGAGACTGAAGTTAAAGTAGTGAGTTCTTAAAAAATTTGTATTCTTGTCACAATTTTCTCCTACGAGAATGTATAGAAATTTTAATAATTATTTCCTTTTGTACTGTAAGGCATTGACATGCAGCTTTTTGTCATGTTTACCATAAAAATGTAGAGAACAGTGACAATGATGGCATACTGGTGGAATATCAATCACAATAACTGCTGTTTATTATATCTTGGGCTAGGATACGTATTATTGCAGAAATTCAATTCAAATCCCTTTTCTTCCTTCTTTCAGTGGAATACCAGATTTTCTAGCAAACACTGTGTAAACTACATGAGCTGTAATCTACATGACTGAATATTAGTTTAAAGCACAGTACTGGTCTGAATGCAGTAATAAAGCCAAGTGTTCTCTGGAAATAGCTGAAGCTCTTTAAGGGCAGTAGATACATTGACTTCAAAGAAATTAATTAGGAGCAAACAAATTTATGAAATAACCTTGAGATGTTCTTTTTTGCAAATAATATGTTAAAATCAAGAGTTGGGGATAACATAAAATTTAAATTCCTGCGTCGTGCAAGTCTTTGGTACAATTAAAATGCCGATGAATTCAGTCTGATGTGAATATATTTTTAAGTATTTTTACTAGTATTATTGCAGATATTTTGCATAAATATTAAACAACTGAGCTTGCAGGAGTATTGCCAAGCAATACAGAAATAGTAGTCTTAATTACTAATTTGATGTTATAAATTCGTGACTTGCAAAATCATTTTGCTTAACCACATTATTTGTATATTTGAGTTAAGGTGTTCCTCAGTCTCTTTCAACCATTTGGCAGGGATGATGAGAGGGAAATATCAGCACAGATAAGAAAAGAACAAAGAAAAATGCTCATTTAGAACAACTATGCAGTGATTTCCCAGGGTTTATGTTTTTTCTCCCTGCTGCTTTTTTGAGAGCTCACTGTACTGTTTTTTTCATATTGGGAGGCAAGGCGATCAAGGCTCTTTTGTTTTACATTTCTGCATCAAGAATCAATTTTTTTTTTACATTCTGGATTCACTCAAGAACTGTTTCTGTGGTGGGAAGGAGTCTGTACTTGGTTCGTGTCTGTGTCAGGGTTACACTGTTCTGGTCTCGTAAATCCTTTGCCTAAGTAAGCCCTCAGTATGCCCCAGGATATCTAATTATTGTTTAAGGTTAGATCATACTTATCTTAGTCAAATTGCTTTTTAACAAACTAAGTGGCTTTGTATCTCTTTACTAGTCTAAGCTGTTAAAAAGTTGTTAAGAGTGTGCGCTTGTTACATAAGAAACAGGGTAAATGGTCAATTTGTGGTTCTCTCGTGTTAAAGTTACACCCACAGGGAAATGCGTTTCTGTGTCCGTGTTAATGTCCCTCAGCATTGCCCAAATGTTCTCTTCCAGCTTACAAATAATTAACAAAATTGATTATGTGAAAGGGTTAGTTTATTTTCTATTATATTTTGATATTATTTAATCTGTACTGGATTTTGGATGTATTAGTATGTTTTTGGAAGCTATATATTTCATGACAGTAGTAACTCAGAACTGCAAGTAGTTTCCTGGCATCTTCTCCTTTCAGCAAGAGGGCTATTGTTGGATCGAGCTTCCAGTGCCGTCAGCATTAGTCAGATGTAAACCATTCTAGTACGAGAAGTTTATGTAATGCACACAAAATTATATGTTTCTGCTCTTTGTTTGATTTAAAAGCTGTGAGTGGGAAAAGAAATCTCAAAATGTTGTGGGGTGTTTTTGCCTTTCTCTTCCAGGGTTGGTTTAGCCCAGGTCAAGTCTTCGTGTTAGATGAATACTGTGCTCGCTACGGAGTGAGAGGCTGTCACCGTCATCTTTGCTATCTCAATGAATTGATTGAACATTCAGAAAACGGTTCTGTCATTGATCCAACCTTGCTCCACTACAGTTTTGCGTTTTGTGCTTCTCATGTTCATGGCAACAGGTAATTTAAATATATGTTTTTAAAATCATATCCTTAGGAGGACGACAAGGTATTTATAGGACCTTGCATTCACTAGGTAGGGAAGTTGCACAGGACAGAAATTGATTCCTGATAGTTTCTTCAGGGTTATTGGAGGTTCTATGCAGATTACTATTTAAAAAAATTAAAACTCTGACTTTGTACTGCCTTAATGCAGCGTATTTTCTTGAGCATTGTAAGGACAGACTGATTTAAGACTAAGAGCTGTCATCCTGGAAAAAGGTAGTCTTCTGCATTCTGCATTTATGTTGTCTTGATGAATGGTGTTTCCAGTGAACATTTTGAACAATGGTGCAGTTTAAGGCAAGGTTCGAGTCTTTTACTATAGTGTGTAGATTGGCAGCTGTTCATATTATACTGAGTTCTTCTGGCTGTGCTACCATGGGAAGAAGTAACATATATTGGGAATGTGGTGTTAGTCCGAGCTAGGAAGAGCTAGGACATTTCTGGAATTCTTTCCACTGAAGAGGCACATTATTTCAAGAGCTGTTGGTCACAGTGATGCTCTTGAAATGATGACTTCCTTCCACTTGCAAGTCAAAGACTTGGGAAAAAAATAGGTTGTTGCTTTGTTGTGCTAAGCACAATCTTTAAAAGGAGCTTTTGCTTCGGCTGTGATTCCAAATAGTGAGGGAACTAGCTCTGCTGTTGAACATCGGGTACTGGAGATAAGATCATTGGATGGCTCAGGCTGGAAGGCACCAACCTCCTGCTTGAAGCAGAGTCAGTTGTGAGGTCACACCAGGTTGCTTTATCCAGCATGAACCTGCCTTATTTCAGTGTAGTTACATCCATTGTCTCTTGTCAACCTCCCAGTAGCAGCTATGGGGCCGTCATTCAGTCACCCTAGACACACCCTACTCTCCAGGCTGAACAAGCCCAGCTCCCACAGCTTCTCCTCAGAGCAGATGTTCTGGCCTCTGACTATTATGGTGGACATCTACTCAACTTGCTCCAGTTTATCCATGTCTTCCTTGTAGTAGAGTGGGGAGTGGGCCTGCACTCCATCAAATTATAGGACTGCATGCCCTAAACCCTACTGTGCACACTAGATTGTAGAGTGCTGTAGGAAATATGTTTTAAAAGATCAAAAATAACAACTGGAAACCAAATGGATCTCCCTATCTCAATGGATCCAATCCTGTCACTAGAGGAAAACTTGCACTCCCAAAAAACAGGAACGGCGATGCTGTCAGTAAATCCCCAAAACTGAATCCTGGTAGGGATCAGGAGAGAAAGAGGTTTTCTTCCCAACATGTATGCTTGTTACTTTGCAACCAGTCACAGAGGCTGTTCTACTTGTCCTCAAACCAGTGAAGAAGGGACAATCCTTAAAAAGAATATTGTTTCCCTCGCTAACTCAGACAAAGCCTCATCTGTGAGAACGGGAGCTGGGCATTTGTGTCCTCAGTGATTTGGTAGTGGGAGATTATCGTTATGTAATCCTATGTATCCAAAATTAAAATGTGTTTGAATGTGCCTGAAATACTCTCAAGAATCTTAACATTTATACTGGTAAGTTAGGATCTTTTCTGGTTTTTACTTGGTAACCTGTTCTCTGTAAAAGCATGCTTCTTTTGTTAGGTCTTGAAGAACCTGACATGTTCGTATTTCCTATTGAGTCTAAGCCTTTGTTGTTTCTAGCCTTTTTATTACTGGTTTCAACCTAACAAGACAAATAGACAGTGATAATTGCTCCAACTTATTTCAGGAAATCAAAAGAAAGGTAGATACATTACTTTTTATTTCATAATTTAAGCGAAGGACAACAGTATGTGCAGTGCATGAAAATATCTCAGGGAGCACATCATTTACACGGTGGTAAGCACTCTGTTTGTATTCTGTCTATTCCTTCTGTACAGATATTCTCTGAATAGCATTATGAGCATTTTAGGAATAAAAGAAGTATTGAACGGAGAGGGTCTGACTAGAACTGAGATATTGTAAAAAGGAAGAAAAAAGAAACATGAAGATAGAGGAAAAGTAAGTCAAGGACAGAAGCAGACACACTCACTGAGGATGACAGACACACATACGCACATAATACATCCACTCATTCATCTGCCACAGCACTAAGAAATAGTAAAAGGGAAAAAAGAATTCCACAGACAATGCACGACAGGCCAAAGTTCTAGGCTGATCCCTGCCGTTATACATCTTAGTTTTATAAGTCAGGCTGAGAATTAGAAAGACCACAGAACAAAGACAAAGAGCTTTATACTCTAGGCATGATGTATTCAATTTATGATTCACTTTTGCTTTACAGAGGGCTCTTAGACCTTCCACTAGCCTGAGAAAGATCATCAGAAATTATCTTGAAGTCAGGTGGTGGAGGAGCATGTAGAAATGCAGGTGTATCTGTAGTTCAGATTATCGATATCTTTTAGGCATGAATTTTAGTGTAGCAGGCAATCTAGTGACATCAATCAAACAATCAGGTGAAAGTATCACTCACACGAATCAGAGTGAATCTACAAAATATACCAGGGCCATACCAGGACATATGCTGAGCACACCAATGACTCCATCTGATTTGCTAAACAGAACTGGTGAGGGAGCAGTCTCATGCAATGGATCCCAGCTGTCCATTAGTTATAGGCACTCTCTGAGATCCCGGGCATAGCTGTGGGATTGTGTGTATCAAATACTGTTCCCAGAAAACACTAGGAAAAAGACTGAATCAGTTTTGACTCTTTCCACCCTTTATATGTCTCCAGAAATCTTCCGGCAGATTTTGAACGCCTGTGTATGCGCTATGCTCTTTTACTCACCCTAGGACTTGAAATATGAGCTCTGTTTCATACTGCAGGCTGTAATGCTCTTGCAGGTTGTAACACAATAGCTATGGTTTTATTTCAAAATGTCTGTAATAAACCCAAGAGCTTCAAGGACATTGTGAAGCACAGAGGAGACCTGAACAGAGTTCTGGTGTAGGCTGTATGGCAGCAGGCCTTGCCACCTGGTCTCAGGACCGAAGGACAATCCCCTAAGACAAAGGTAGAGGTAACAAGTTCTGACATAGTAATCAGGCATGCTGGTACTTAGTGTGTCTCTTATGCCAGTGTTGCTGGTTTGGGAGCAGAAATGCTTATTCAATGTCAAGCACAACGTCCTGAGTCCTGGACTGAGGAATTCATGACCTGGCTTTGCTGCTAGGAAGGGCATTATGACAAGGCTAAAAAACTGCGTATGTGGAAAAGGTATTTCTACTTTTGTGGATGACATTTTTAAGACATTCTCTTCCTAAACAGCCAAAAAGCAAAATATTTCCATGAAAAAATAGCCTTGCTGAGTCTTTAAAAAACAGCCTTGTTTCTGAATCAGCTGCTTCCCTTTCATCCAGCAAATAAAATCAGCTTCTGTTGGCTGTGCTTCTGATGCTATGTAATTTTAATGTATTATCTCCTTTGGTTCCTTTTGACAATGTTTTTCTTCTGAAATGTTCTGCTCTATGGTCCCTGTCAAACTCATTAGTCCACAAGTAAACCTTTTGCACTGAAGTCATGCATACACTTGTGTATCTTTGGTGGAAGTGAAATGGGCAGAACAAGGAGCTATAGGATACCCATGAATGCTGACATTTCAGTCTAAACAGTCCAGGTGGGAGCTATTGTTTTCTTCCCCATCACATTCACTTTTGTCTACTTTTCATGCTGTGACTTCTATTCAGTACCTCTTGTCTAAAATGGATGCTGGTGGGTATCACTTGAAGTGCAAAGTGACTTCTTTCCACCTGCTGAGTTACAGACTGAATTGAAAAATTCAAAATTCAAACATATTCCTTGCTTATACTGTTTTCTTTTCCAAAAGAAAGCTGATTTATTGGAAGTTCATATACAAGAAGTGAAGGTGAAAGTAATTCTACTAAAAGAAGTTTAGAACCAAAGATAAATAGTTTCTACTTACAGTTTGAAATCTTCAGCGCATGTGTGTTTACGTAGAACCTACTGAGTCTAGGTTCTTCTAAGCCAGTTAGTCATCTGTCTCCAGCACTGGCCTGCTTGGAATAAGAGGACAAGCATGTGCAGTAATGCCTCTTAGGGCTCTTTCAGTCTTCAACTCTTTGCAGCTCAGAATATGCCTGTTCAGTAACCTGGAGTGAGTCTCAGATTCACGTACTTGTCTGTTGTGCCCCGCAACCTGTGTAAGCCCTTTGCACCCTCAGTACCTTTGGCAGCCAGTTACACAACTCAGCCTCCTCTTGCTTGAAGAAGACTTGCTTTTAACTTGACTCCTGTGAATACTGAATACTCCTATGAATACTGTAAAATAACACAGATCTCAGCACGGAACAGAACTCAGAAGTAAGATAACTTATCTTCCCTGGAGGTACTCACCATTTATTCCTGCTCTGTTTTTTCACTGTAAATGTAAGATCTTTCACTTTTACTCAGTGATTGCTTAATTGCCTTAAAAGCTTTAGATTAGCAACAAAAGATTTTTTTTGAAAATCCAGATACATTGTATCAGTCGGGTCACACTCATCTACCTATTTTTGATCCCTTCAGATAATTTCAAGAAGATCAGAAGGCAAGATTTCTCTGCCTTATGGCTTCGAAGCCACACAGACTTCTTCACAATAGATAATATTTATGCAATTGCCTTCAATTTTGTCCTTAAATATCCTTATAATTTCTTCCAATTTTGTGGGCTGTGTATAACGTTTACTGGCCTGTAGTTCCCGCTACCTCCTCTGGAGACAGCTTATAGTTTTTAAATTGATCTCACATTTTTCACCTCTCATCCCTCAGGAGGAAGGTGATTCTTGAGGAGAACCTTTGACCATAGGTAATTCAATTCTGGCCCTGGCAACTTCCTGCTGTCCATTTTTCTAATTGGTCTCATAATCTTTCTCTTAGTTGCTTTAATTTTGGACAGTTTCTGTTCTGAAAATAAAGTTTTATAGTTTTTTTTGCTGTGAACGGAGAAGGGTTCCAGCCTAACAGTCTACTTAATTTCCT